GATGCAGATTATTTACGGATGAGAAGCAACAAAGAGCCGCCAGGTGCTAAAAAATAAAGCTCAGACTCAAACTTTGAAAGAAAACGGCGCCGTTACAACTTGTGTCTAAACATGTGTCGTTTCATGCATCGTTAAAACACTCGACTCAGCTACACGACGCACAGCTGGAAACACTTCACGCAGGTCGAGCTGCCCGAGATTCACAGACTTTACAGAAAATGTTACATGTTTGTGATTTATATCGTTACCGGACGATGGATGTCTGATATCAGGATATGAGACTTTGGTCATATCGCACAGCCCTAATAACAGATAGCACAAAAGTCCTCTGTGTTAACTTCAAAGAGTTCACACTGGTGTTGACTGTCTGCCTTAAATATGTAAAACAAATGCAACTACAAACCAACTACACAGCGTCAGCTCTGAACACAGCACAAACAGCCAAATCTCTGCTAGCTGTAGCTCAGGAGGAAGGGCAGGTAAACCACTAACTGCAAGGCTGATGCTTTGATTCCCGGTGGCTCCAGTGCCAGCTCTGAATGCCAAAGCTTGCTGGGTGAGATACTTAACCTCAGGTTTTCCTCCAATGCACAAATTTACTATTCAAATGTTAGACAGCACATGTGCGAATGGGTGTACGAGGCTTTGTTTCTCTTCTTCCAGGCTGATTTTCATCTTTCAGATTAGAATGTCTGGCAAGCAAATAAAATATTGTCAATAATAAATACAAGACTGTATTTATGGGCTTTTGTGTCGAGCTGTTAGGAAACAAAGGGTTTATATATATATGATTCACAGGTCAGTGTTAAACAGCTGTAACAAAGAAAGCCATTTATAAATGCTCAGCTATGAGACAGCTGCCGTCTGTCAACAAACCAGGGCGGCTCAACACTTTGGCACAGTGGATAATTCTGCTGGCTCTTTGTTTACGTTGTTGAAACAAACATTACTGTGCATTCCAATGGAACCCACTGACAGGAAAAATCAGCAGATCCGACCTTAGAGTCATTTAAACAAGTCCGCGCGTGGATTTGGTGGTGCTCAAAATACACAGAGCACAGTGGCGGCTGGCCCATAGGGGGCGCTCGGGCTCCGCCCCCCCAAATGTGGAGGAGTAAAAATATATATTTTTAAAAAATTCATCAATGATAGTTTTACTATGTGTGTGCCCATATACAGCCAGGCGTATTTTAACATTTTCACCAGCTGACTCATTAAAGTTCAACCAACAAACGGTGTTTTTCTTCTTCTGGGGCGCTCGTCAAAGCGCCCTTGATATGCAGCGAAATAGCCTATCATTAAATGGTTGCCAGGGGAAAATAATAAATATTTGACCTATCAGCATCGCTGAATTAAATGGTTTGGGGGCGCTTAAAATTGCGCCCCTGCAGAAAACGCGCGAAGATTTGCTGTTCTAGAATTTTACCTCAGTCAGTAGCCTAAGTGAGCTATAAGGTCAGAGAGAGACGATGGCAGCGGTATTGTTAACGGTTGAGGCACAGCCTCCCCCAAATTCGGTTAGATCGCTTCTAACCTACCCTTTTGCCAGAAGGACAATGGCAGAAAAACTGCAAGTTAAAGAGTTGGGACCTGACAAGCCCGAAATTCAACTAACCCAGGCAACGAAGGAGAAGTCAAAAGCATACAACAGGACTTTTTGTCGGAGTTGGTTCCAGCGCAAGTCGTGGCTGACAGGCTGTGGAACAGCTAATGCACTTTTTTGTTTCCCGTGCATACTGTTCAAAAGTGACAAGTGTGATTTGACGTGGACACAATCTGGACAAACCGACTTAAAGCACCTCTCCGAACGAATCAAGAAACATGAAAGCTCACGAGTTCATATGGACAACAGTGTAAAGCTAGCTGTGCTAGGGAAAACTAGCATAGCGGCGCAGCTAGATGATGGACATCGGATTGCTTTAAGAAGGCACAACGAAGAGGTAGATAAAAACCGTCATATTTTATCTAAAATCATCGATTGTATTAAGTTTTGTGGTGCTTTTGAGCTAGCAATGCGGGGACATGATGAAAGTGATTCCTCAGACAATCCAGGGATTTTTAGAGGTTTAGTCGACTTGATGGCATCAATTGATCACGACTTGAGGCAACACCTTGAAAATGCTACTGTATTTAAAGGCACCTCGAAAACAGTCCAGAACGAGATCCTGGATTGCATGTTGGCAGTTCTGAGAGAAAGGATCGTGGAAGAAGTAAAGGCAGCGAAGTTTTTAGCCATTCAAGCTGATGAAACCACTGACATTTCTACACACTGTCAGTTAGTCATGGTGCTAAGATACATTGACCAACGAAACCGTATTCAAGAGCGTTTTTTTGAATTCATCAAGCTACCCAATGCTTGTGCAGATGCAATAGCCAGTGCCTTATCGGAGAGGCTGCGCTTCATCCTCCCCCAGGGACAAGAGAGAAAGTTGATCGCCCAGGCCTACGATGGGGCCGCTGTAATGAGGGGTACCACTGGAGGAGTGCAGCGTAAGATACAGGACATTTATGCTAACGCTCACTACGTACATTGTTATGCCCATCAGTTAAACCTGGTAATGCAACAAGCAACCTCCCACATCCCTCAAATCAGTCACTTTTTTTCCGACATAGCAGGATTCGCTTCTTTTTTTACTAAATCGAGCAAGAGGACTGCAGTGCTTGACGAGGTGGTGGCGCACCGACTTCCAAGTGCATCGGCAACCCGTTGGAACTTCAACAGTCGTGCTGTGAATACAGTGTATGAACATAAAGACGATCTGGTGAGGTGTTTTCAGACCATCCGTAACAGTGAAGGATTTGATGCCCCTACAAAGAGAGATGCCGGTGGTTTCGTGAGAATGCTGGAAGACGAAGCTTTCTGTTTTTTCCTGGCCTTGTTTCACAAGATAATGCCACATGTAGACATGCTGTATAACCACCTACAGAAGAGAAACATCGATTCTGTCACCATCGCAGGGATCACCCAGACATTCATCAGCCGCATGCAGGCTATCAGGTAGGCATAAAAGCATAAATATGTAACCTAGAATAAATGTTAATTATCTATGCATAGATTCTATCAAATTCTCTGCATATATTCTGTGTTCTGTGACTTAAATGTTTAATGGAATTCAGATAATTTTGATTTATATCAGCCTTTGAAGTAATTTTATGAAAAATATTTGATTAAGTATATTTGATGAAGTATATTCCCAGTAATGATTTGATGTAGCCTATACCATAGGCTATTTCCTGAAATTATGGCCAGGGCCTTTATTTACTTGCACTGGTTTTCCCCCAGCCATTAAACCAGGTCCGGTTATTAATTAAATCCGGTAATTCCCGGTAATTAGAACACAACCTTTGTTTGGTTTGTGTTTGGTTAATATATCCCTATTCAGTTTTCAGAAGCCATTAATGAAACTTATGTATTGGATCAGGGAGGCACTTCCTAATCTGGTTGTGGATGAGGAGTACAGGGGACCTGTTCAAGACCCACCCACAAAGAGACGGAGAACATTGGGGGAAGACAGGCAACACCATTTGGCACTGGAGGTAAGCACTAGCTGCTTGGTCTGATTTAAATCGGATCATCAGATAAAATCTAATGACGATGCTGTCAGATGTCATTTGATATAGTGGTCATGACTGTTTTGTTTTGTTATGGACAGATTTTTTTTTTCAGAATAATGATTAACATGAGACATGTGCCAAAGTCTTACCACTGAATCTAACTCTTGCCAATTATATATTATTGGATAGGTGTGCGACACCATTATGAGCCATGCCAAGGAGAGGTTTTCTTTCACCAAGCACCTTGTCAGCGCCACTCTGTTGCAAGGAGACTTGTTCCAACAACACAGCAAAAATTTTCCAGATGCAGCACTACAAACCACAGTGGAAGCCTATCCCTCATTGGACAAAGCCAGACTTAAAACAGAACTGTCCCTGATCTACGACAACGAGGAGTTTCAGAGTTGTAGTGGTGCGCTGGCGCTCTATCAGGTTCTGATGGAAAACAACCTTCAAGACACATTCACCGAAACTGTAAGTCTTCTTAACATCCTCATCACCACACCAATGACAACATCAGAATCGGAGAGGTGTTTCTCTACTTTAAAGAGGATAAAAACTTTCCTGAGAAACAATATGGCTCAGGATCGGCTCAACGCTCTGGCTATGCTGTCCATAGAGAAAAAACTCACACAAGAACTTCCTGATTTCAACACCAGGGTCATCGAGAAATTTGCCACTCAGAAAGACAGACGAGCAAAGTTCTTGTACAAATAAGAACCCTTAACCATATTTACTCTCTTTCTCCATCCCTCTCTCTTTCTCTCTTTAGCCCACCCCCCCAATCAGTTTACAGTTGTTGTTTTCAATAGTTATTTTTCATTCATTCCAAAAAAAAAAAAAAATCTGTTCATGTTCATTTTTACAAATCTATACAAATGGCCAGAATATGGTTGTTCATTTTAAATTTAAATTAAAATTGTGTTGTTTGATGTACTCATTAAATGGGTCATTTTAGTCGATATCATAAAAATTGCCCCCCCTGAGATTTTTTTCAGGAGCCGCCACTGACAGAGCACCACCATATGTGCAGGCACACAGGGCTCAATCCTAATGTGTTTCTTTCCTTCATGATCAGTCTATTCGGAGTCAAAGGGCAGTTGCGCTCAAACAAGTGAGATTTACAGCTTGATCCAACACAAGCCAAGCAGCTGCCACTCCACATCAAATTCACCCCACGGTTCAACAACAGCAGGTACCAGCCGCACTGGGAGTGCCACAGTGGGATTCCCCAGTCCTACACATAATCAGGTGTTATGGTGTGATAAAAGCGGACACCCTGTTCTAGGTTAACATGAGGAAACTGAGAAATAAAACTCACCAGTTTTATTACTGGTGCCAGGAACATGGACAAATGACTCCTAGGAGACATCGCAGCGAATATTCGACACTTCACGCTGATTGGGATGAATAATGTACAAAGACATGTTTGTGACAGTGCTTACCCATTCGAGGACACGAATAAATCCCAAAGGCTCCTTCAGCGGTCCAAGGTCCAGAGAAAACCCAGCCATCGCTTTCTGTGCACCAAAGACACGCAACCAGGTATAAACGAAAAGTACCTCTGCAAACGGCGAGACGTGTTGGTCACCTTGCAGCTAACTGACGCTGCCCTGGTTAAAGCAGCTGCATGCTAACGCTAGCTCACGTCAACTTAAGCACTTTAAAAGACTCACAAACCTGAACAGTGTCCATCGAAGTGTGTAAAAACTAGCAGTCAGTGTCCCGGTACTACTTTTGTCAGTTTGCATGGAAAGCTAACTTCAAGTTGCTCCGTCTGTTTTCTGCCGACGACATAGGAGCTAACAGCAGGGGGCAGTCTCAACTGTGCACGGACTAGTGATGCGCGAATCATGAACGAATCGTTCAGTACTCGAGAATCACTTTACTGACTCGTGAATCATGATTCACGAGTCCAACTGACTCACTGACGCATCCCTGTTGCTGTTAGCAAACTAATTCCATTAGTAGAAATATATCTAGCTTAAAATTAAAATTGTGTGGAAAAAAACAACAGACAGTTTCTTAACAAAAACATTTCTGCTCTGAACATGAAGAACAAACCCTGAGTAGAAGCTCACATCAAGACAACAGCTCCTCAGTTCACAGTAGCATCGCTCTGCTAACATGCTAGCAGCACATTTAAGTTACTCACCCCCTCCCTCCTGGCTCACAGCTTCTTCTTCTTCTTCTTGGTTGGCAACCAATGTTAAGGCGCATTACCGCCCCCTGGCTCACAGCTCAGTGGACATTTAGATGAGAAAATATATATTTGACACATATGAGGAAAATACTAATAAAATAAAAATAAAAATAAATGTTCCCATTAGAAATCTTTTTTTTGCTCTATAAAACTAGTTGTTTTTCTTTTTCAATCACTCATCTTAGCAGTAGGATTTACATGAAAAGAGAAACAAATTAAGTTTGAGTAAAAATGTATATTTTTTGCACTCTCTGGGCAACTGACTCTGTGACTCATATGACTCAAACACGATTCACTTCGGTGAGTGACTCATTCAAACTCGATTCAGTAAAAATAACAGAATTTACCATCACTAGCACGGACCCTACTGTCCGGTTTTTACTTTTAAATAAATAAAATAAAAAGCACATGTTTGAAATCAGAAAGCGATGTCTCATTTTTCTTTCAGTGTGATTATTAGTTAGCGTTTCTGATGTTGGAGGGAGCTTACGGTAATGCGAATTCTGCACAATGAAATGTAATTTTCGAATGTCCGATCTTTCCTTGCGACTTGAACACAGCACGCAGCCCCCCTCCTCGTATTTGTATTCCACCGTCGCCATTTTGCTTGAGTCAGAGAGCAGTTCTGGTTTTCTTCGAGCGGGTTCGGGTTTTTCTTGCTATATTCTACAAGTTTTCAAATATCTTTTTAAATTTTAAACTGGTAATTGAACACTACATACACTGTTTACATCATATGTATGCAGTTACATTGAAACGTTACAACACGGACGTGAATACCACGGTAATAAACGGCCGTGTGAACGCTTAGCTAACGATAAGGTCGCTAACCGTCCAAGGTTTCGGTAGGCCTCTGTTATGTACACGAGCTAAAAAGTGCTCATCTATTAATCATAATAATTTAAGAGTTCACATTTTTAAACTAGACACTAGTTAGCCAGGTTAGCTATAAAGGCAAGGCATTTTCCGACTGGGAGTCACGTAGTTCATTAGCTTTGAGACACTTTTTGTAATTCAACAGTAAGTATGTGAATGTTTTCTTGGCTGTCTTGGTCTTTAAATTGATCTTTTCCTCGAGTTTGAGATTCGTTATTGTTATCTGAGTGTTTCGGTTTAATTGCTGTTTGTGTCCTAATTAAGATGACGATGATAATTAAGGCCGGTTGTCACTGGCAGGCTGAGGCTTGCGTGTGTAGAGTGAAGCCTCCCAAAAACGACACTTGTAGATTTTCCTGCATGAGACACTTGAAGTGTAAAAGTATGTGCGTGTGTCCGAGCACACTTGTTTCATGTTGCTGTGTGGAGTGTTTGTCCTGTTTGTCTTTCAATAACCACCTTTCAGTTCCCCGGGGAGTGTTTCTGATGTATTTGTAGGTTTAAACCCGTCCTCTTGGCCCTCTTTGGGGATCCCTGGATCCGGATAATTTGCCCCCAGTTGATTGGCAGAAGAATTTTTTTTTCTCCAGCATTTGGTAACCAAGACATGAAAGTCCTGCACGGTTTTCCTCCCAACCTCCAGCATTCAAATGTCACAAAATGTGTAAATGCCAACAAGCCCAAGAAGAAGCTGAGGATTTTCCCGCCAACCACGCCACCTTTCTCAACTTTTTTCCCACATCGCTTAGAGTTTCTTCTATTTTTTCTTGTTCATGCTGTTTATGTCCCCCTACTTATTTATTTCAGTAGCCACCAAATAGTATCAATGATGGTTTACAAGCAATGCCCAAAGGACTTGATTGCATCAGCATCAGTATTGTTTAGTGGTTTGGCAGAGATCAGGATGTCTCAGAAATGGGAAGTCGTAGGAAGACTAATGTCTTTGGGAGACCCACCCCACTTTTCCTCTTATCTCATGGATCAAGTGTTCCTTCAGGATTTCCTTACTACTGTGGAGACTCCGTACCAGCTGTGCTCTCAGGAGGCAGACCACTTCTCTACTACCTCAGGTAAATGAGCAGCAGTGCATCTCCCACGAGTACAGGTCAGCTTTACAGATTACTCTCACTGCACTATTGTTGCCTTTTCTACAAATTCGTCAAGTTGTTTAAGTTTTCTTGTTGTTTGACTTGGAATCTAGTTGGTGATGTACAGATTCAGAACTTTTACAAACTGGTCAAATATCTTTGACCCTAAGTATCTTTATTTGGGTTTTTAGTGCTGCTAAACTTGGTGGTGGTCCTCGGTGACCTTAGCAGTGCTTAATTTAATTCATTTTTTTTGTACAAAGCGCCAAATCACTACAACAGTCACCTCAAGGCACTTTCTATTGTAAAGTAAAGAATACAATCATATGAGCGCTTTGGCAGAAGTGGGAAGGACAAACGTCCTTTAAACAGGAAGAAACCTCCAGCAGAACCAGGCTGAGGGAGGGGCTGACAACGACCCTCTGTGGAGGTGCTGGGTGCACGTCGGGGGTTGGTGCTTTATAAATGAAACGAACTGAATTAAAAATTGAGTGAAGAAGAAACAGTCATCGTGTCATGGGGAGCACCCAGCAGCACAACTAGGGGAGGATCCAGGGTCACCTGGTCCAGCCCGAACTATTTTGAATTCTGGATTTAACAGGAAGCCAAAACAGGAGAAATCTGCTCTCTCTTTCTAGTCCCTGTCAGGACTCTTGCTGCAGCATTTTGGATTAGCTGAAGGCTTTTCAGGGAGTTTTTAGGACTTCCTGATAATAATGAGTTACAGTCGTCCAGCCTGGAAGTAATAAATGCATGAACTAGTTTTTCAGCGTCACTCTGAGACAGGATATTTCTAACTTTAGAGATGTTGCACAAATGGAAGAAAGCAGTCTTACATATGTGTTGAATACATACACGGGGACATATTGTGGTTATTGTCGTGCACCAGGAGGATCCCAGGACCCACTGCAGCAGCGTAGGGCACCAGTGGTGGACCTGGAGGTCATGGCAAACCACAAGCCTCAGGCCACCCTCCTCAGTCCGTTTCTGATTGTTTGATCAGAGACCTTCACATCAGCGGCCTGCTGGAGGTCATTTTGTAGCTCTGGCTGTACTCAGACTACTGCTGCAGCTGTCGATTGTTTTAGTAATCGATTATTCAATCGAGTATTCGGATACAATTACAGTGCTGGCTGCGGTGAAGAAATGCCAGCATATCAGTATTCTGAGGTTCGCCCTGCGCTTTGATGCAACGTTTTTGAGCTGCTGAGAACAGGACGGTATGATGGTGTAGAATTAATTGAATAGTAATTGATTGTCCAGCCTAACGACCCTCAGGTCAGAGAGTTTCACTACTATTGATGCAGGACCAGCGCTGCTGTTTGGTCCTCACAGTGTGTGCGCTTCCACATTAAACTATGCCATTGTCATCACTGCTGCTGTTGTGTATCAGTGTGTGGAGCCTTTTCATCCACAGCTGCTCCTGAAACGCTCACACATTGGCTCATACACAGCTCTGTGCTGAACAAAGTATCCAAGTAATGTCTGTTTTTGTTTTGTTTGTTTACAAAAACCAAAGCATTTGTAGACATTTGGGCGACGCAGCATCCCTGTGTGGTTCCTGGTACACACTGACACTGAGTGTTTAAATATTCCCTTGTAGGGCTGTGCGATATGACCAAAGTCTCATATCCCGATATCAGACATCCATCGTCCGGTAACGATATAAATCACAAACATGTAACATTTTCTGTAAAGGCTGTGAATCTCGGGCAGCTCGACCTGCGTGAAGTGTTTCCAGCTGTGCGTCGTGTAGCTGAGTCGAGTGTTTTAACGATGCATGAAACGACACATGTTTAGACACAAGTTGTAACGGCGCCGTTTTCTTTCAAAGTTTGAGTCTGAGCTTTATTTTTAGCACCTGGCGTCTTTTTTACTTCTCATCCGTAAACTCTCTGCATCTTTTATGTGATTCAGTTTATTTTGAAAAGTCTCAACAGGATCTTGAGCTTTATTGTGAAAGGTTTATGTGGAACATAAACAAGCGGAGACACGATGCTGTTACTGTCGTTGTTGCTAACAACAACACATAAAAACAGGCGCTTGTCGTCCGTAGTGTGGTTGTATTAAATCTAAGACAGAGAGACCTTTAATAAAGCCGCTACAGTGACCATCAGAACATGAAAACAGCTGGAAACAGTTTATTTTGCAACAGCACCAAACAAACGATAGCGTAAATGAAACGATAGATGTCGTTCTATCAAACAGCCCTATTCCCTTGAAAAGCATCCAGAGTGTACCAGAGGTGCTGGCTTGGTTTGAGATGTGATGTCTGGTTTGCTCTGTGTTGTCAGGGAGGTTCCTGTCGGCCCATAAGAGATCCAGCTGCTGGGTTTAGAGGTCGTTCCTGTACTACAGCTTTACTATGACCAGCCATGGAGACGACTGCTACTTCTTTTACTATTCTACCTGCAGCAAAGTAAACAAGCCTGCTACATGCACACATTGGGCTAGAAAGTGTTGGTGACCAGAAAGAAGAGTCCAAGCTTACTGTTTGTCTGTGCAGGGAGACAGTTGTCCGTTCAGACACTGCGAGGCAGCTATGGGCAACGAGACCACCTGCAGCCTCTGGCAGGAAGGACGCTGCTTTCGTGCTGTCTGCAAGTTTCGCCACATGAAAATAACGGTAAGCAAAATGTAAATGGAGGAAAGCTGAAGTCCTCTCCTTC